GCCCCCCCCCCCCCCCGCCGAGTGCACAAATTTTTGTGCACGGGGCCTGTAGTATATATATAAAAGGCCAAGTTGATTTGTGTATGAGTGATACATATAAAGCTCTTGCTGGCGCCAATTGCACACATATGTTTCCATCTGTCATTCTGGAGTGTGAATTTGGTTGACAATTCTTTTATAGAGAAAGGTTAAATAGTGATATTAAAGTATTTCTTCTAATTAATTTTCTTTCAATGTGCACCAATTCGTGCTCCAGGTCACTAGTTTGAAATAAGACCCATTGGGGTGGTTGTGTGCCTGTCCCAGCCATATTCAGCTGTGCAGGTGCAGGTACTGAGCTTTGACCAGTACCTGCACTGAGGAACATACCGTTTATAATCACTGTTAAGGGTGATCTCACCCACAATGTTGGCTGTAGATATAGCTCTATATTGGTATATCCAGCACAGATTGCATCTCTGAACTTTGGACTTACATATTCCCCGGCCCATGTGACATCTTCTCTCTTTCTATCTAACAGACATCTTAAATTTAGGATTCCTAAAACTGATTTCCAAATCACTATTAAGGACCTATTCTTTATATCATCTTCTTCATATTAATAGCAACACCATCTTTTTGGCTGCTTAGGCCAAAACCTTTGCAATTACTTTAGACTCTTCTCTCTCTCTTACACTCAATTTCCCATCTGCTTGAAAATGTCAACCAATAAAAAAAAAAAGTTTAATCTATAAAAAAAATTAAAAAAGCTTTTATTTGAGCAAAGGACTGCAATCTGAGTGACACAGATTCATTAAGTAGCACCCCAAACTGTGGTCTGGAAAGAATAGTAAAGGCAGGTTTTATATAAAGGTAAAAAAACCACAGACTGAAACTTTTGCTATTGGCTACTTAATATGGTGCGATGGCTAGTTCAAAAGGGAATGGTCAGATCTGGGTGATGAAACTCTGACTTAAGCACTGATATGGGAATGGGGAAAGAGGGGATGCAGAATGGGGGAGGGGCAGGTTCCAGGATATGTACTTCTATGATAAGCATCAGAGTCCAAACTTTATCTGGTGTGGACATATGTAAGTCTGACTTCCCCAGTATCCTCCTAACTCCATTCTAGGGCCCGTTGATATTAGTACTCTGATTTAGATGTTTCAGTTCATAAAACCTTCCCATGGTTTCCTTTTTCATCCAGATTAGAGCTAAAATCCTTACACAAAGAGGACACTCAAGTGGCCTATAAGCATATGAAAAAAAGTGCCCAGTATGAATAATCATGAGAAAAGTACAAATTAAAACCACAATGAGATAAGGCTCCACACCCTGAGAAATGGCTGAAATTGAAAGGACTATCCATGTATTAGACAGCATGTGGAGCAAATAATACATCCAAACCTTGCTAGTTGGTGTGTAACTCAGGAGAACTACTTTGAAAAACTGTTTGGCAACAGATACATTGAAACTACATAGAAGTTTATCCATATCATTCCTGGGTATATGCTCAACAGAAACAGACATATACAATAATATTTATAGGAACTATACTCATAATAACCACAAACTAGAAATAACTCAAATGTCCATCAATAATGGAATAGATCAAAAAGTTGTGGCACATTAAAAATGTAATACTTGAGCTCGGCCAGTGTAGCTCAGTAGTTGAGCACTGACCCATGAACCAAGAGGTCACTGGTTCAATTCCTAGTCAGGGCACATGCCCAGGGTACAGGCTCAATCCCTAGTAGGGGCATGCAGGAGGCAGCTGATCAATGTTGCTCTTCCCATCAATGTTTCTATATCTCTAACTCCCTCCCTTCCTCTGTCTCTCTCTCTCTCTCTCTCTAAAAAAAAATAAAAAATAAACAACATTAAAAAAATGAAATACTTGAAAGCAATGACAATGAAAAAGAACAGATTAATGAAGCATGCAACAGATGAATGGATCTCAGGGACATAACGTTGTATGAAAGAAGCCAGACACAAAGAGCACATACCATATGTTGGCACTTACATGAGCTAAAAAATAGGTAAAGCTAGTGGTTACTTTGTGGGGAAGGCATATTGACTAGGAGGGGGGTTGCAGGGATTTTCTAAGAGGTATTGGAAATGTTTTATATCTTAATCTGAACAATGGTTACTCAAGTATATGCATATTTAAAACATCATGAAGCTGTGTATTAGAA